ATAAATATTAAAAAAATATCTAGTGAATTTTCAGTTTATGTTATTATTTTGTTTTCTATCTAGCTAGATTTTAGTAAAAAAAAATTATAGGCAAACTGTTTCGTGGCCGACATATATTGTTTTCTTAGCGAAGGCCCAATATTCATTTTGAATGCATTATGTATTATTATTATTATTATATTAACCAAGATTTTCTCACATTTTCTGTTTCACAGGTTTCGATAGTCTTTATTAAATGTAAATATTTAAAAGCTAAATATATACAATTTTCTTCTAATTCTTCAAAGTGTAAGCTGTTGGCAGCCCTATCAATAAAGTCCATTACTAGCGCAACCCAAAAAGTTGTCCCTGGAGAGCTGCTGGCAATTCGCAGCAGAGCCTAAGAGTCAAGCATTAGTTTCTCTGTCCATCTACTCTCTGCCTGTCTGTCTGTCCCAACATATCCTGTCAGCCACTTATCAAACGCCATCGTTTCAAAACTTCACTGGGCTGCAGTAAAAAGTTATGTCCATGGCGCTTGCCAACTTGTGCGTAATACAATGAACGACGTTTCCATCAGCGTGGCACGTGAGAAGCCTCGCAATGTGGCAGGAGTCTCTGTGCGTGTGTTCGTGTGTGTGTGTGTTTGACAGGTATCGAGTGCTTGAGTGAGGGAATGACGGAATGAGTGAGTGTCCAAAATGTGGTCACATTAAGGTGAAAAAGCACATAATCAGCCACTGGGGACTCTAAGCAGCTGCGGCCGCAGAATGCAGCAAAGAGCTCTCAGCGGAATTGGGTCAAGTTTATCGCTTGACCTTCACAGTGAAAGTACTTTAAAGTATTGTGTGAAATCAAGAGGAAGATGCGTTAAAGCGAGTCGTAGCGAGAGTGAGAAAATGTTTTGCTATGAATTTCTTTAAATTACCTAATTTCCTGTTTTCCACGAGCAACACAACAATTTTAGTGTAAATGAGCTAAACAGCAATTAAAAAACTGTTGTAAATAAGGCCATACTGCCGTATATTTATGTTAAACACAACTTTCTTTAAAAGCGTTGTGAACTAAAATAATGCTAGAGATGTAGATGAACACGAGTATGCGAATCAGACTAGTGTACCAAACATCATTAGAGCTGACTTGAGTATGCAAACAAAATTTTATTCATGTGCAAAGCTTGAGTTTATGGTATATTTATTTTAAAGTTATTTATTTAAATTATATTGTTTTTAGTTATTTATTAATTTTCTAATTTTGTATTCACTAATTTATTTATCAATTAAGAAAAATAGTTGCGTAATAACAACACCAGCACTGGGCTATTTCATTCGCTCGACGGACAAGCCATGTCCCAGTTATTTTA